GTTTAACTTTTCCTAACCATTTATTTTTTTTCTTGATATAATCTTCTTCCGACATATTCAATAGATAAACCATTGGTTTTGATGTATTAAATAAATGTTTATTTAATACTTCAATTTCTTTTTCATTCCAATCATGAAAACGAACATTACCTTTGTCTTCATTTAATATATGTAAAACTTTATTTATAGTTTCCTTTAAAAGATATGAGAAAAAATCATTTTGTATTGAAAATGTTTTTCTACAATAATTAATTTATCATACATAATCAGCTTTTAATGATTTATCATTTCCTCGTACAACTTTTTTCTCTAAATCTTCACCTGTTTTTTTACACATTTCAAGATCTTTTAATCTAAATACAAGAAAACAAAATTCAATAGAAATTCAAGGTTTTTGTTTGAAAATAATTACAATCAACCTTAATTCATCATGAATTATTTCAATGTCACGAATAGGATCAACATTTCCTTCAACATGAGCGATATCAACTTCATCAAAAATTCGAACCATATGAAATATACCATCACATGCTTTAATATGTGAAAGAAAAGCATTTCCAAGACCTATTTTAGAAAATATTATATTAAACTAATTGATATATATATTTATTTTTACCTTGTCCTTCACTTGCACCTTTAACGAGGCCAGCAATATCGACAACCTAAATTATGATAAAGAGAAAAATAAAACATAGAAAATTGTTGTATTTACATTCAGAAACGCTGGTTGTTTACTAAGAATAAAAATAAAGATGGAATTTGAGGAAATATTTAAAAAAAACTACCTTAATGGTTCATAATGTTGACATAAAAAGTCAAATCGTTGATCAGGTACAGGTACTCGACCTAAAAAATATTAAATTTCATTGAATAATAGAATTAATATTCTTATAATTATTCATACTTTCATTTGGATTGATCGTACAAAAAGGAAAATTTTCAGCAGGTACACTTGATTTAGTAAGGATATTAAAAAAAGTTGATTTTCTATGTAATCATAATAGATAAGAAATAAAATCGAATAAATATGAGAAACAAACCCAGCGTTAGGTAAACCAACAATACCCATTTTAAGATTAGTACCAATTCGACCAATAAGTGGTTTCGGTTTAGCTTCTTCTTTCTTTTTAGGTGGCATAATTTCCTATCGAAAAAAAAACTTATCTAAAATGTAAAAATTCAAATAAAATGTATGTGTATATTTCGCTGGTATTTTATTTATCACAATGAATGAAATATCGAATATATATAGATACGAATGTCTTTAAAAAAACTTAACCTTTTGTGGTTGTTGTTGTTGTTGATGATAACGGAGATGAAGATCGAATTGTTGTTAAAATTGTTGTTGTTTCTACTTTTGGTTTAAAATTATTATCAGATATATGAAAGAAAACAAACATAATACAAATTGCCATTAATAAATGTGCTAAAAGAACGACTAACATTGATACAGCACTAAAACGTTTATAATCCGAATTAATTGTTGGCCAAAATGTAACAACTAAAACACTACCACTTATTAATGATGCAATTAATGTTAATGTCCATTGTAACCAATTAATTGGTATAATCCATAGAATAGATACTGGAATAAATATAGTTAAACTATAACCATAAATACAAAGTAATTCAAGGAATGTATATTCAATACGATTAAGATGCCAACGAAAGAAAAAATAAATAAATGTTGGCATTAACCACCAATAGAGGCAAACAAGCTAGAAATAAATAGAAACTGTTGTTCGTTTTTCTATAAATAATATTTTATTAACTTACAATTGCTGATAAAGTTATTCGAGAAAAATCAATTTGAAATTCAACATCAGGCAGATGAAAATAATTCACTATATTTCCACTGATTGCTACTGTTAATATAAAAGTAACACAAACCCAAAATGGACCATATAAATCAGGATTTTGTCTAATCGTTGATTCAAAATATGATTTATTTGGTCGTGGTGTTACAGAACCAACTAAACGTTCAAGGACTTGTTGTGTATCAATTTGAAAATATTTTTGATAATATTCAATTTGCCATACATGAAGCTGTTCAGATTTTTCTTCATTTGCAGTAGCTGGCAATGGAAGTAAATTTCTTTCTACATTATTTGAATTCATAGATTGATTTCCAAAACGTTCATCATCGGGATCCATAGCAGAATTTGGAAAAGATGTAAAGACATGTGTTTGACTTTGATTTGTATTAGTTGAAGTTTTATCCGTCAGAAATCCGTCACCTGAAAACATCATTACGAAAGATGAATAAATCGATGACGTTGTATATATATATTACGTTACATTTTAAAATTTTTCATTTTGTCCTTATATTATTGGTTAAAATACTCCAATTATATAAAAGGTTTTCTTCTATCAACTAGCGACAATTATGAGGAGAATAAATGAAATTGCTTAGTAACAAAAATTATATACTCGTTGACAATGAAAAGTGGTTTGAATACTTGTTATTCATAGATTTCCTTTTCTTCTTATCGACTAAAACAATGCTTGACTCTAATTCTGCCGAACGTCGACAAGATCTTTTTCAAACAAGTACTGGTGTTGGTCATCAATATCGACCAGGATATTATTCCCCTTCTTCAAATTTTAAGGTATTACACACTACATTGCTTTTATTTATTCATATACTTTTTTATTTTATCACAAAAATAGCGTGTTTTTACTGATCCATTACCACCTCGACTTCGTGCTGCTGATGAAATTACACCTGAACAACATTTTAAAACAACAAATAATATTTATCATGATAATAAATATCCTCAACAAGAAATCTATAATGATCAAGTAAATTTACATAAAAAAGCACCAGCCTTATGGAAAGGTATTTTAAAGATAATTGTCTTATTATCATAGAAATATTTTATTCTTTTTAAGTAAATTATATGACTGATTTTGTTGAAAAACTTAAAGCTCATGAATGGAGTCATGGATTAACACTGGCCCATAGAAAGAGTGAATACAAGGAAGAATATGAAACAAAAGCAAATATAAAATCGGAATTAGATCGTATCGATGGACAATTACCATATTTAACACGACCTGATGCACCTATGACTAAAGTAATATTTTTTATTAGAAATAAATTTCTCGAGTAAAATAAATATTTAGGCTATACGTGATGATGATCGACCAACAAAACCACCTACAGTTGCTCGTACATGGGATCCATCAGAACAAGGTGTTTTTACACTTCTTGATCCTTATTTAACAACATATAATAAAGAACATCGTCGTTGGAGAAAGTAAGTTTTTGTCTTAAAATAGAATAAAAAATATCTATTTTTTTATAGAGATGAATGGCAAGGTATTGGTAAAAAAGATCCATTAACTTATTGGGATGCAGAAGAATATCCTAAATCATGGGGTTTTGGTAATACACCAAATCCATTACCAATAGATAGTGTTGAACGTGAACAATTACCCATGCGTGATTCAATATGGTTTTCAACACCAGCAAAAATCCGTCAAACTCATCAACCACCACGTATTATTCCTCATTCAGGTCTTACAACTGAAACTCGTATGTATTGCAGTTTTATTTCATTATTAATATCAATTGAAATTCTTTTAAGGTGAACAATTTGTAACTCCAAGTCATGTCAATGCTAAGGAAACAAAATATTGTCCAATAAATACACCCTATGTTCAACCAGCACCAGGTTCAACATCAACCTATGCTACATCAGCTATGTATCGAACTGATGCAATGAACTATGGTAGTGAAAAACCAGTTACTTTACCGGGAAATTGAAATTAGTATATATATTTTTCGATTGATTACGACTTTCATTTTTTTCTCTCTTCTTATATGTGTGTACAAATGTGCATGCTTATAAATAAAAATCTATATATTAAAATCATAATGGATTAGTATTTAAATCATTCTCTTACGCTTTTATAATATATCGATATATGAATATTCGAAGTAAAGCGCGCAGGTTTTTTTTCTATACATATGATCATATTTATATTCGTTGCACTCATTCATATGTAATCGAGAAAAGAATAGATCAATTGATGATAGCGTCATAAGACAGAGTGTTTATAAATTAAAGTAAAAAATCATTTACATATGAAAGCAAATATAAATCTACATATGAGTTATTCTTTGTTTGATTTAATAATATGGAAATTGAAAATAAGCTTAATGGAAGTGATGCCTCGAATTTATGTTTTTCATCATTAAAAAGTAGAAATATTGAACGATCTAAACATGCAAAATCCTATGAAGTTGATAGTAATCATCATGTATCTTTATCAAATGAAGATGTGAATAATGACGAACAAATAACTTCATCTTATACTATACCAGATAAAAACTCATTAAAAATGGACAAAAATCCAACACCAAAGTCTAATCACCATCATCATTCATCAAAAAAGTCGAAAAAACGTGGTTTTGGAGCACTCTTAAATCGAAAGAAATGGCCAAATCCATTTGTACAAGGACAGTAAGAAATTTTTTTACAAAATAACACATTAGTTTACGAAGTGATAAACACGAAAACATTTTTATTCTATTTTTTCGAGAATCTCAGAAAGATATAATCAATCGTAAATTCTTCACAGATAATCTCTTTCTTATCCTATAATATGCATTTCAAAATCATTATTTCTCTTCCAGGAATAATGATGAAAATGCAGATGCTTACAAAATCTTTAGTATTCTTTATGGTTTAGGTAAGTAATATAAGAAAAAGATTTTTTGTAAAATCTTGAAATTTGTTTCTAGTTATTTTCATTGGTGGTGTAGCATTTTCTATCTCACATGCTATTATTCCACGTGAAGAAGGAGAAAAAATCAAACATTTAGCTGCGGTAATATTATTTGAAAAAAAATGCAAATTTTATTTTTTTTTATTTTCTTAGATTTATTTTACATATCTCTATTGGGTATCGATTTGTTGGATTATATTTTGTATTATTGATATTGTTCGTCATAAACGAAAATTAGGAATTCATTCCGAAAGAATAGATAAATTAGATTCAAATCGTATACGATCGAAAATGTTTCAAAAACATCAAGATTTTAAATTATCACCAACACCACAATTTAATTTACAAATATTTGATAATTCCGATGATGATGATAATAATGCAGAAGAAAATGATGAAATAAATTCAACTGTAAATAAAGATAATGAAAGTTCTCAAGATAATCAATCATTAGATAATCTATCAAGTCTTATAGGTCGACCATTTAATGTTTTAATGAGACGACAAATATTAGATCCGAGTGGAACACAAACATTAAGAAATTATGTATCTCACCGAAAAGATACAATTGTGCAACGAGTTATTGGATATAATTATGATGATCATTCAACAGCCGGTGGTCTTTATATTCGTGTAGGAATTGGAAGTAAACAGAAAGAAAAAAAATGTATATATGTAAAAAATTATATTATTTGTTTTTAGTTTTTTGTCTTGGAACAGTAATACATTCGGGTTTATCGATATTAAGTAATCTTGAAAATTTTGTATGTACACGATGGACAACTGTAATGGATGATTTTTCAAGATTATTATTTAGTTTTATTCAATTTTTCTTTATATTTAAACATTCTAATGTATGTATTTCGATTTTAAGTTAGTTACGAAAATTTAAAAATGATAAATTTAGTTAATTATTCGAGCACATGAAAGTTTTGCTCGATTAGCTGTTATGCATGTTCTTGTAACAAATTTATGTGTATGGTATGTCATTGATTGTTTATTAGAATATGAAGTATTGATTAATAAATATTCTAAAAGATCGCTTTCTAATTTATAGGTTCCGTATGGTTGTTAACGAAACAAAATCCCAAATACTCGAAATGAGTGCTCATGAAATGGCTATAGGACAACATAATCCTATTGTTATGAATAGTAATTATTCTATAAAAAATGTTCAAAATATAATCAATCAAATACATTGTACACAATCTATGGAAGATACTTTACAAATGACTGCTTATATTAATGAAGGTTATATGAAATTAAAACCACTTTTATATCCATGTACAATTGAATTTAGTCTTATGTGTTTAACAGTAAGTTTTTTTTAAATAAATACAGATTTTTTTGATCAAGAAAAATTTTATAGTTATTTTTTCTAATATGGGAAAATATTGGTAAAACATTTACATATAAAACATCTGATAAAGCTTCAACAAAGAATGTTTTTATGGTTAATTGTCATGCATCAATAAAAGGTTTATTTGCTGGTATGATTATATTTGCATGTACAGTTATATCTGTTATACTTTATGCGGTATTTCGAAATAAAATTGGTGATGATATAAATCCTCTATCAACAGAACTAACAATACCTCATCCAACAACAGCAGCAACAGCAGCATCTTATCGAAATCGTTCATCATTAACACCTTCTGCACATGGTCCATTTACATCTCTATCTAAAACACCCAAGAAACTTTTATATAGTATTGCAATTATTGAAATCGTTAATTTATGTTTAATAATTATTTCGTTAGTTGCTACAATATGGGCATTATTAAAAATTCGTAAATTACAATATCGAAGAATAGCTACACGTAAATAAATATGAAATTTTACTATGAAAAAATGAAAAATTATTGTTATTTTAGGTTTCGATAATGTTTTAATTATTGTATCATTAACTGGCATTTATTTATATTCAATATTTAGTGCTTTTGCATTACTTAATAATAAAAATTCCGCAACATGGATTGCATATGTTAAAATAGTTATTGTTATTTTAGGTATTAAACAAAAAAATTAAATTTCTAATTCTAAATGAATTTTGTTTGTTTTTTTAGAATTTATTGAAGGTACTGTTCATGCATTTTTTATACTTGTAGCATTACATAAACGTCTTAATCATACAAGTAAACATGAATATCCAGCACGTGAAGTTATTACATTATTAATCATACTTGATCTTAGTTTATGGTTCGAAGAAACAACAACAACAACAAAACATGAAGCAAATCCATTTCAATTAGCTTTCTATCATGTTATACCATGGTCAATCATAGCTGCTATTGCAACGCCACTTCAAATATTTTTTCGTTTTCATGCTTCTGTATGTCTTGCACACGTCTGGGAAAATATGTATACTTTGCCGGCTTCGGAGACCGTTGCTCCCCATGGTTTATGATTAATCTACTTTCTTTTGTATTTACTATTCTTTCTCTATCACTATTTTTCATACATATATATGCATATATATGTACATATGAAGTTCATCGTTCTCTCTTTTTAATGAAGGACAAGCATCAACTACACGTCGAGACATTTCTTCTTTTTTTTTTTTTCTCTATTAACATCATCAGCTGAGCGAAAAGAATATAAAGAGAAGAAGAGAAATGGAAAAAGGTCAGTCAGGCTAAGCAAACGAGCCATTCGAACAGCATTTATTTTCATATCAAAGAATGAATACGACGATTTCGTTAACATCACTTAATCAACAACAAAATGGTCATAAAATTTGTTGTATTTGTTTGGAAAAAGAATCAGTTGATATACCATTAATTAATTGTGATCATCGACTTGAATTTTGTAATGACTGTATAATACAATGGTTTGGTATGAAGAAATTCGATTGTCCTATTTGTCGAAAAGTCTGGCAAGAAAAAGAATGTGTAAGTAGCAAAAAAATTGAAATTTCGTTTTAATAATTCGAATTTTTGCAGTCAGATACATCAAGTCAAAATGATGGTCATATAGGTGTTTCACTTGAATCACTTTCGTCGTCAGTTATCGATCATCATTATCAACCACCTATCGCTTATTTTGGTATATTTTATCCAACAATAAATGCGCCAACAACAAGTGCTCGTCGTCAAATGTATAGTGCTTTAATTTGTTATTTATGTTCGTTTTTCATTGTCATTGTTGTATATACAATTCTAATATTGCTCAGCAAAAAATTTGAGCATAAAGATTAATTATGTAAAATGTGTTTTTTTCTACTTCCTTTTCTTTTTTGTCTACAGTTCTTTTCTTTTTTATACGAAATGTATGAAAGTAAATTTAAGTATGATTAATAAGAAATAATCTATTTAAAAACAAGAAACAAACTAGACTCATCTATAATTTTTAGATACGATCAGGGTTAAAATAACGAATGACGAGATATTTATTTCGTTTCTTTTGTCAGTTCTTACTAAGCAAGATTCATGTGTACAGTGTATATAAAAATTAAAACACTAATCGTAATAGATTATATCTTTGCTTCTATTCATTCATATTATCGATAGAAATTTTTTTGAGACACAGTTAAGTTATACTTGAATTGAAGAATTTCCGGCTACTTAAAGGTTGATTAAATATGATCATAACTATACTTTCTGTATATTATAATCAATTATTTTTAGTCTAGAGACTCTTAGGCTTTGAATGAGGTAGCATTTAGAGTTGTTTATTAAATGAAACATTCGAAATCATCTAATGAGTGATTAGCTTCTTGTTTTAATAAGAAAAGTAGATAAATTTGATGATTTAACGACATCATTCTGAATGTTGACCATTTTCTTCTTCAATTAGTACAATAAATTTGATGGATCATGATTTTATTTTACTTCTTAGTCTATTATTACTACATTTGTATTAGAAAATGAATATCATTCTATGATGACTTGTTGTACTATATCGAATAAACCTTAATATTTATTGACAGATTTTCAAGAAACTATTTCATATTGATGAAGCTATGAATTTCAAATGAATATGTCTTAAAAAGTGTCTACCATACTAAATATGTCACAATCTATAAATATCATCTCAAAAATTGAAAAATCAACAGGATAAACTTATAATTTTTTTTTCTCCAATTCATGCAATATGATCGTGAAATTTTAATAATAGAATCAGTGGTTTATCTAGCGGAGGGGGAGGCACGGGGCTTTTTGCCCTCTCGGAGGATGCTCCTGCCCCCCCCCCCCGAAATTCAGAAAAATTACGCTTTTTGAGTCTGAAACTCTACGTTTGCCCCCCCCCCCCCAGAAGAGAGATTTTTGTTCTTCCGGCAGTTAATTTCGCACCCTCGGACGAAAAAAGCTAGATAAAACATTGAATAGGATGATAAACTATATTTGAAATATATAATATATCTAGCTACAAATAATTTTGATTAATGTTTTTATCATCATATGATATGCACTTACATTTTCACTATAGACACTCACAATTTTTCATTGAAATAATTATAGTACTAAAGGAACATAGTATTCGATGAGAGCTCGAGATAATTTCCTGACATAAATAACATTTCTCATGATTAAGTGGGATTTGTTCACTATCGAAAATAGTCATTACAATATTGAGTATTATCATAATAACTGTAAATAGAATTTAGTAATTACACTTGAACATGTTAAATTATTTTAATGTTTTATTCTGAAGAAACAATTTAGTTGTTAAATAAAAGTAGAAAAAAAATCTCATACGAGAGATATTTTTCTTGAACGTTCCCGTAGAAACAAACATCTGTTAGATGAAAAAATAAAAAGTAAGTATCTTACTTGTTTTGCATACAACATTACTCATTTTCTTATGAAGGATGAATTGTTTGATTTAAAATACGCCTGATATAAAATGAATAGAAAGCACTTCAAGTTCAAAACGTTTTTACGTACAAATATTTTTTTCGTTTCTTATTCAAAAATAAATCTGTAAGATTTGTGGATGAAGTAGTATTTTTCCTCTAAACAGTTCTGTTTAGTTAATAAATTAACTTACATACATCTATTATTCATCATGTAGAATGAAAGCAAATATTAAAGTGCAAGTGCACTTTAAATAAACCTTACAAATGATTCATACTACAGTTCGAACATTTTAGTAGTTACCAGCATTTTCTTTTCTTTCATTAAGTTAAAATTTTTTAAAGAAAACAAATCAATTTTTTTAGTTTTATAGGCGTGTAGGTTGATTTTAAGGCGTACATATTTTTAAATACAAGAAAATATCTTTAAGCTTTGTTACTTTTTTTCCTGTAAAACAATAAAAAAGTTAATTTTGAGATCTTTTAGAACATTGAGTATGAAGTATAGACAATAAGTTGCGAATAACAAGATGTTATCTCAGTGTATCTAAACAATTTTTGTCTATCAGATGGCCTTATTTACAAAATAGTTTTTATCATTCCTCAATAACTATAATAGATTTTTTCTTTCTTTGAAAAATTCTTAGAAAAGTTAGAAAGATATCTTTCTTAATAAGAAATTCTTTTTATATTTCTAGTCCTTCCTATGACATTCAGTTTAATTTGTTAGCAAAGAAAGTCCAAGTTAACCTTCAACTTGTTTCATTTGACTAATAAGTGTTGATTATTAACGGAGAAAAAACGCATCCGAACTCTTTCCCTAAATATCGCATCATACATTAATAAAGACTAAGGACGATTTCTCTCGTTCTAACATACATTTTAACAGAAAACAGATGATATTTCTTTCTCATGATAGAACGGTACGTATTAATATTTGACTCGGAAAAAAGAAACATAGTTCATAATCATTGTTTGGTCTATTAACCCAAAGACATTTGACTTATTTCAAACTAAATAATTAATATTTTTGTATCTTTTAATAAAAACAGAAAAGTATAGATTCGTTAATTTTGCATAGAAGAATTCAAATCTTTAAAAGCTTAAGATCGTAATAATAAGTAAATAATGAACATTATTATATTCATTAGGAGATGATAGAATTTGATTGATAGCTTCTTCTTCTTTTTTGACTAACATTCTCGAATGGTTATAATGGACTGGTATTAATAAACAATAATAGTAGCTCGTAAAAAACCTCGATGGAAATATAAACATAGAACGACAAGGGAACAAAACTACATAGATAAAAGAAATAACAATATGGTAACAAACAATGTAGTTGTTAATCGAGATTCTATATGGATTTTCTACTTCTAGATAATTTATTTTTCTATTTAAAATATTTATTATGAAGGCACTTCAACGATTTTTTAAGAAAAACAATCATGAAGATTATATTATGGGTAAATGTTCAATGTAAGTTATGAATCTAATATTAATATTTTTTAACAAAAGAAAAAAAAAATATTTAATTTTTTATTCTGATTTTTACATTATTATTGAGATAATGATTCATTGCAAAAAGTTTTTTCGAATAAAACTTAAAAATAGATCTATTACTTCTAGAAGGTGGAAGAAATCATAAAAATAGAAGGAACAAGATCATAAAATATAAAAATAATGGATCTTATCAGCTATTATGACTTAATAAAAATATATTTTATCTATATTCTGTTTTAATTATATATACATATATATATATATAGTGTAGAAATCACTTTACTTGGACATTAGTATTGAAAAAAGTAAGTATTCATATGACTCGTTTGCGAAAAGATGATTCGATAAATTTTTTTTAACGTATTCAGATACTTAATCGGTAATTTTAAAACAGTTATGTATACGTGAGAAAAATATTAAGGTAGAACTAATTTTTATTCATATTTGCGTTAAGAAAATTATTCTACGAAATAAATCATTTGATGAATTATGTAAGCAGATATAGTTGCATGAGAATCCTTTTATTTGATATAAGTATAATGTCATGTTGTTATATTCAGATAAGAGATTAGGCGTTTTTCTTTGTGAAAAAAAAAAGATAAAGGAATACAAAAGAAGCTTTAGGTTTTTTTTCTTGTTATTCATTTTTGTCTTCACACTTCTATTACAGAAATACGAACGATTGACGATAGCGAGTATTTACTTTTAGATTTTCGTTTGAATTAAAAACCTGCGTTTCATTTCTGTTTGATATACACCTTGATATTTTCATTGACGTTTTTTTTTCTTGACTTTACGAAAGCTAAAAAGATGATATTTATCACGTTACTTTTTATCTTTTATTTTATATATATATATATATATATAAATATCCAAGGTCTCATTGACCAATAATAATAGTTGGATATTTTACATCAATAAATAAAAATAAACTGAGTATTTTTATATTTTAAATATGTGAATATCTACCAGCTGTTTATTATTTTTCGCTTAATGTCCCATTTCAGTTTGATTGAAAGCGCAGAGTGAAAGAAGTATACATCGAATTTTTTATTTTTTTATATTGTGCTGTATACGCACACATGCTGTTTCTAACTAAGATATATGAACTATTCATATGTTAGACGTTATAGAGTAGAATAAAAATTGACATACATCCGGCAAATTTATAATAAATTACTTTTTTTTATTTTTTTTTCAGTTCACGCGATTTATCATCACCAGATACTCCATCTAAATTACAAACAAGTCATTCTTGTTTTCAATTAAATAAGTCTCCATTAAAACGTCGTTTTCTACTATTTAAATCTTCATCAAACAATACTTCAATGGGTGCAGCAAATAGTACTAAGGGAAATCAAAGTGATATTCAAACATATCTTGAACAAGAAAAAGTAAAGTTTATTGAAAAACTTGAAAATCCTGTTCGACAAAATGCTAGCTTAGATGATTTTGACCTCATACGTACAGTGGGTACTGGAACATTTGGTAAATATATATATATTGAAAAATTAACCAAAAAAAAATCATTATTTTTAATTTTTATTTCAAGGTCGAGTAGTTTTAGTCAAACATCGAACTGATCCTGTAGTGAAAACAGTTGCATTGAAAGTACTTGATAAACAAGTTGTAATGAAAATGAAACAACTCGAACATACATTAGCTGAAAAAAAAATTCTTCAAGCATTATCTTGCCCATTTATTGTAAAATTATTGTACACATTCAAAGATAATTCTTATTTATATTTGGGTCTTGAATATGCACCTGGCGGAGAAATGTTTACACATTTACGTTCTTCCGGACGTTATACAGAAGATATGACAAGATTTTATGCTGCACAAATTGTACTTGCTTTTGAATATTTGCATTATTTAGGTGTTGTAAGTATTTTTTTAAAAAGATACGAAAACTTATTGAAATATTTTCTCGATATTTATAGATTTATCGAGATCTTAAACCCGAAAATTTACTTTTTGGATCAGATGGTTATTTAAAAATGGTATATTATTTCAAAATATTTATATAAACTTATCTATTTCCTTTCTTTAGACAGATTTTGGGTTTGCAAAACGTGTCAAAGATCGTACATGGACATTATGTGGAACACCTGGTTAGTATTTTCATTAAAAATATCTATTATTATTAATATTTTCTTATGTTTAGAATATCTTGCTCCAGAAATAATTCTCAGTCGTGGTTACAATAAATGTGTAGATTATTGGGCATTAGGTGTATTAATGGTAAAAACTATTTTTTTGATTTAAAAAAATAAAAATAACTTTTTTTTTGATATTTAGTATGAAATGAGTGCTGGTTATCCACCATTTTTTGCTGATCAAGCAATACAAATTTATGAAAAAATTGTATCTGGTCGTGTTCGTTTTCCAAATCATTTTACAGTTGACCTTAAAGATTTACTCAAAAATTTACTTCAAGTAGATTTAACACGTCGTTTTGGTAATTTAAAAGCTGGTGTTAAAGATATAAAAGAACATCGATGGTTTCGAGATATAGATTTTATAGCTATCTATGGAAAATCTATTCCAGCACCATATATACCAAAAGCTGATAAAGACCATTATGAAATCTATGAGGAGCAACC